CTTGGGTTTCAAAACCTCTGAATCCGAAATCAGAGCAGGTTCTTGTCTTAATTTCCTGATATGCGGATTTTTCTCAAACGGATGTGCCTAAATAATAAATCTTTGATTATCCATCAAAAGTTGTCATGGATTACTCTATGAAGGTGTACGTTAGGACAAATGGTATCTGTTATCTAGTTCCCCAACTTTGGAATATGGGTTTCATATTTGTTATAAACCTAAGGCACATTTTTACCCTAAACAAGAAAAAAAATAACGATAACATTATTCATCTAGCCATAATATGTCAGGAGATCTTGTTCAAATTGTGTCATCTATCTCAGCTCGTTATTTTTTTTCTTGTTTAGGGTAAAAATGTGCCTTAAGTTTTGAAATGGGTGTCAAGTTTAAAACATGGAAAAGAATGCCACACAATTCCTCTCTTGTGTTAGGACGTATAACAACACGTATGCGTTCACATTTCAAGGTTCAGGGTCAGATATATCATTTTATTAACGACTATATCATTTTATTAACGACTTGTATCCTGATGGGTTTCCACGCAAGAATTTGCAGCTCTATTTCTTTGACACAGATCCTGTTGTTGAAAATACACTCCAAATTACTGATCGAATGGATCCTCAAATTGTGTTATATTTGGTGGAAATAGTTTCTTCTAATCCCTATGCACAGATTTTTAAAAGCCTCGGTGATTTTTCACGCACAGATGATTTCAGTATTTTGTTACTCTAATTGCTCTCAAGATCAGAGAGTTTATAATGCTCCATCTGCGTCTCAAGTGGCTTCTATGCAGCTAGAAGATGACAATAATGGTATTATGGGGAACCGGAGTATCCGTGTTTACACACATAGTGGAAGATATCAAAATGTTCAGTATTATTACGAGAGTTACGATCTCTTACAATACCCTTTATTATTCGCGCACGGTGAGGTAGGTTGGCATGAGGGCATCGAGAGGGTTTTGCAACGTGGGCGTCTTAGATCTGATTCCCAAAGTCATCTCCTGTGCACTCGTGATACTAAACACACTTCTATAGTTCTATAGACAATATCATTGATGCAGAAGAGCAAGCATTCCATGAGGGAAAGAAAAAAAGACAGTTTCGTGTTGGGAATATTACGCTTACAAGTTTCAGATCCGCGGTTCAGATCACAGTTTTTTACTGCATATTGGCAGGTTATTGCAACAATCTATTGTCGTTGTTTATGTGAAAATTGAAACTCAACGCTTGGATTATTTTAGAAAAAAAGTGAAAGACGTTCAAAATCATATCAAGGTTTGGTTGACAGCTTTCAAATGGGTATTATGAACAGGCAATTTGTTGGTCGACAGGTTACATTACCCGTCTCTTTTATTGGGGGACCTCGAGACATGTGAAGGAGATATATGGATGTGATGGCATTGGTTCAAAGATATGGTAAACCCGATATTTTCTTAACAATAACTTGTAGTCCTAACTGGCCAGAAAGAAAAAGACCTACTAGCCTATGTGGATAAAGCACAAAATCGATCAGATCTTGTAACAAGGGTCTTTCGTGCACGTTAGGAGGAACTGAAACATGATCTTATATTGTTATTCAAAAAAAGTATTTTGGTGATGTTGCGGTTTATACGTATGTAATTGAATTTAAAAAAAAGACCTTCCACATGCACATTTTCTTATTGTTTTGAAAAAACATCCACCATCACATCTCCATCTATGTGCGACCAATTTATATCTGTTGAAATACCAAATCGCTATAAAAACCCCCGCTTATATGAATTGGTCAAAAGACACATGATGCATGGTCCATGCAGCTCCATGAATATCAAATGCCCATGCATGATTTTTCACGCACAGATGATTTCAGTATTTTGTTACTCTAATTGCTCTCAAGAACAGAGAGTTTATAATGCTCCATCTGCGTCTCAAGTGGCTTCTATGCAGCTAGAAGATGACAATAATGGTATTATGGGGAACCGAAGTATCCGTGTTTACACACATAGTGGAAGATATCAAAATGTTCAGTATTATTACGAGAGTTACGATCTCTTACAATACCCTTTATTATTCGCGCACGGTGAGGTAGGTTGGCATGAGGGCATCGAGAGGGTTTTGCAACGTGGGCGTCTTAGATCTGATTCCCAAAGTCATCTTTGGGCACTCGTGATACTAAACTCACTTCTATAGTTCTATAGACAATATCATTGATGCAGAAGAGCAAGCATTCCATGAGGGAAAGAAAAAAAGACAGTTTCATGTTGGGAATATTACGCTTACAAGTTTCAGATCCGTGGTTCAGATCACAGTTTTTTACTGCATATTGGCAGGTTATTGCAACAATCTATTGTCGTTGTTTATGTGAAAATTGAAACTCAACGCTTGGATTATTTTAGAAAAAAAGTGAAAGACGTTCAAAATCATATCAAGGTTTGGTTGACAGCTTTCAAATGGGTATTATGAACAGGCAATTTGTTGGTCGACAGGTTATATTACCCGTCTCTTTTATTGGGGGACCTCGAGACATGTGAAGGAGATATATGGATGTGATGGCATTGGTTCAAAGATATGGTAAACCCGATATTTTCTTAACAATAACTTGTAGTCCTAACTGGCCAGAAAGAAAAAGACCTACTAGCCTATGTGGATAAAGCACAAAATCGACCAGATCTTGTAACAAGGGTCTTTCGTGCACGTTTGGAGGAACTGAAACATGATCTTATATTGTTATTCAAAAAAAGTATTTTGGTGATGTTGCGGTTTATACGTATGTAATTGAATTTAAAAAAAAGACCTTCCACATGCACATTTTCTTATTGTTTTGAAAAAACATCCACCATCACATCTCCATCTATGTGCGACCAATTTATATCTGTTGAAATACCAAATCGATATAAAAAACCCCGCTTATATGAATTGGTCAAAAAACACATGATGCATGGTCCATGCAGCTCCATGAATATCAAATGCCCATGCATGATTCAGAAAAGGTCAACAATACCTACATATAAAAGCCAATTTCCTAAACAATTCATTAACACAACTAAGTTTGATTCTGACTCCTTTCCTTTGTATTGCCATCGTGACGATTCTGTAAGTGTCAACGTCAGGGGGTTTAATCTTGATATAGATGGGTTGACCTTACAATCCAAGATTACTATTGAAGTTTGATTGCCACATTAATGTGGAATTATGTGCTAGCATTCAGTCTATTAAATATATATATATATAGGGAGCGGTTCCGGTAAGAACGGACTCCCAGGAGAGAAATAAGAACGAATCTGGGCCGTTGGATTGTATTATATGGAATGGAAATGTGCATTTGATAAAACTGAAATGTGTATTACATGATACTGAAATGTGCAGAATAAAAATTTAAACTCAAATGTGCATTTGGTGAAACTGAAATGTGCGGAATAAAATGTACAAAAATGACATCACATCGTACCTTTTATTCTACACATTTCAGTTTCACCTAGTGCACATTTCAATTTCACCTAATGCACAATTCAGCTTCACTTAATGACATTGTATCATACGCTTTGTGTTGCACATTTCAATTTCACCTAATGCACATTACAGTTTCATTTAATGCACATTGAATTTCACTTAAAACAAATCTAACGGTCCAGATTCGTTCTCATTTCTCTCCTAAGATCGTGTTCTTATTTGAACACAAACATATATATATATATATATATATATATATATATATATATATATATATATATATATATATATATATATATATATAAAGGTCATGATAGGGTTAGCTTTGCACTCTCCACTAATACCGAAGAAGTAGATGAAATAAAAAGAGTTTCAGAATGCACATTGGATTTCGCCACCTGAAGCCACTTGGCGTGTTTTTGGGTTTCTCATTGCTGAAATGAAACTATCTGTGGTTCATCTGCAAGTTCACTTGGAAAATTTCCAATATGTTAGCTTCTATGGCCACGAAAGAATCACTAGAATTTGGCTGATGATGTCGCTGGTCATACAACGTTGACAGAATTTTTCAAAATGAACAAGGAGAATGTAGTTGCCAAGAACCTAAAATTGCTTTATATTGAATTTCCGGAATATTTTGTATGCTTTCTCACATGCAAAATGTGGACTCCAAGAAAAAGGGGAGAGGTAGTAGGCCGATTAGTAAGTGTTAACCCCACTGAAGGAGATCGTTATTACTTGCGTTTGCTCGTGAGGCAGCAGAGTCAATAGACTTTCTCTCAGGAGATTTTATGGTTCAAGAATGCCTTGAAGAGGCTGTTCTATTTCAGATGCCATCAAGTTTGAGACATCTCTTTGCGACACTTCTCACTTTTAATAATATTGCTAACCCTTGGGAGTTATGGAACTCATACAAATCACATATGTATGAGGATCTTACACGGCTGCATACACATGACACAATAAACATAGAATCCATTGCGCTTCTCTACATTGCTAACATTTTGGAAAAAATGAGAAAACAAATTAAATATTACAATCTTGTCGATTTTGATCTATGTATCACACATGCAGAGAAAATAAGCTGAGAAGTTTCAGTTGAATACAACGTACATGTTTCATACATGGATCTTCTCTCTATTCAACAATTGAATCATGAACAACAACAAGCATATGACGCAGTCATGCACAATGTCTTAACAAGAACTGGCTCAGTTTTCTTTATTGACGGTCCTGGAGGTACTGGAAAAACTTTCCTGTTAGTTGGCAACTGTTAGATCTCATAAATGGATTGCTCTGGCCACCGCCACATCTGGCATTGCTGCTTCAAACTTGCCCGGGGGGCGTACAACTCATTCAAGGTTTAAGTTATCTCTTGATACTGAAAGACACTATGTTTGCAATATCGGGAAACAAATTGCAGAAGCTCAATTGCTAAAATAGGTGAGACTTATCATATGAGATGAGATATCGATGGCTAATCGTAAAATCATTGAATGCCTAGATGTCACCCTGAAAGATCTCATGGATTCACAAGAACCTTTTGGAGGTAAAGTAATTGTTTGTGGAGGAGATTTAAGGCAAATACAGCCTGTAATTAAAGGTGAAAAAGGGGAAGATTTCATTGATGCTTCTTTAGTCAGATCTAGCATAATTTGGCCTCATGTGAGACGGTTCACAATGGCCCAAAATATGAGAGCCCACAAAGACCCTGGCTTCTCCTCGTATTTGATGAAGATTGGAAATGCAACACAAGTTAAAGTGTACAAAAACAAAGTCAGGTTTCCATCTTCTTTTCTTGTTTCATCCAGTAACGGAACTTCAGCTCTCTCTTCTTTAATCAAACTCGTGTTTCCGGATTTAAGCCTATGGAGTAATATATTAGTGTTGAACAGGTAAGCCTGCTTGATGGCAAAGGTAATACTAAGGATGATCTCAGGCTTCCAACTAATGAAACACTGTGTGGTCAGGTTAGTGCATGTTGTATTGACTATTTTAGCACATACATGGTGACATTATATTGTAGGAGTTTAGGTGTCTGAATCATACAAAAATGAAAACAACTCTCGACAAGAAAGAACTGGATGACACCCTAAGCTTTTCAGATGTCCCAAATTCATGTTTTAGTATTTCACCAAATACAATGTCTATTTTAGTATACGTCTTTACCCTGAATGAATTGTGGACAGATAAAGAGCGCATTCGAAGATGGCAAGGACAACATTGTGTCTGTCATGTCTGCCATGGGCGAGGAGCAGATTTGTGGTCTCAAGGATCTCAACAAGTAGATCACTTAAGTGTTGAAGTCTGAACCCAAATTGTTGAAGACTGAAATACTATTTTCTTCATACTATATGCAAAAGTCCCCAAAATATTTGGTGCTTTATAGTTTGGAATCATGTTCTGTTAATGTTGTTCTAGTAAAACGTAGGAGTGTGGATTACTCTACATCCACACAATGACACAATTCTCAATTTGCATTCTTTATTTAAGATCCACTATTACATTAAGCGAGTACTTATATAAAAATGTCACCGCATTTATTAAATTTAATGCATTTTATACATGCATGTTTAGAGTAATTAGATGACATATCGAATGCACCAAGTTTATTCTTATTTTCATGAGAATCCAACCATTTTATCAGTTACGACATGCTAAAACAATGCACTTTTTGAAACAAATTAAAAAAGTCAATAATATTTTTAAAATATAAAAATTGTAAAATAATTCCCAAGTCAAAATTTGAATCATTTTTGCTTAATTTTGAATCATTATTGTAACTATTTTGTACTTGCAGTCGCATACTTTTAAACCTTATACGGCTTTTACAAATTTTATCAATTCTTTAACTATCATATTCATCATGTCATTGAATTCTCTACATTCAAGAATAATTAGTTGCACACTAACACTCAAATAATCATATTTATTTGGGGTTCTATATATCACTAAAAGCAGTTACAGGCCGCTGAAATAAGCACAGAAATGTTTGAAAGAATTGGGCCACCCCATCTCTTTGAGGACCACATTCATCTCCTTCCAATTAATTATGTATGCCTACCCCTAATTTATCAAGTTTTGAGCTGGGACGTGCTGCAAAAAATTCTTTCTTGGAATCACTTAACAAGATTGGGAACGAGCAAACCACCACCTCATGACTTTAACCGGCTAAGAACTATATGCATGCATGCAACCAGATTGGGATGAATCACATAACTGGCCAATTAAACTAGGAATGCTAATAAGCAATCCCTTGCAATTTTATTATGAATGCATCATCATGCAAATAAATAAAATTTGATATTAAGGAAATTTAAATGTCAGCCCAAAGAACAATTCAATTCTGGTACAACTAATACATTATTACAAGAAATCCCCTGTTTAAGATTTGTACGTGCTGAAGCAAATAATTCTTGCCAATTACAATCACAGACCCACAAATGCACCTTAGGAATAGAAGTAGATACAGAATAAAAAAATAATAATAAAACTCATATCACATCTTCACATTCAGAATGCAGAATGCGTATTATTGGTGGAGTTTATTTAGGAAGAATGAGTGTGGAGGATAAATTAGATAGATATGATTATATCTGTAAAAAGCTGGCATACTTTGCACCTAAGAAGAGCCGTTGGATGCATAGCAAAGCATTTTTTGTAACCTCTGCATTCTCATGGTTCAAAAGCTTCATTGCACGTTCCTTGGCTTTGAGGTCAGTCACGATTACCCTACCAGCAGGATGGCACTGAATGAACTGTGACAGATCATAACAAGCAACGGCAAGTGTTCTTGGATCACCCGACGTGTCCAATATCGTAACAAGGACCCTCAGGATCTGCATTCCAACTCTGGGGGATTAGTCTTTCGTTATGCTATTCAATATGGTTTTGTTTTGTTTTTTGATAGTATATACTACGTATTATATAATATTGTTCCCCATAATATCGATAATATTATTTTGTCTGGAGAGTTTTTGTCAATTTAGCCTCCCACTATTTTTTTGGATGACACTTTTAGCTCGTCTTGGAAATTTTTCTATTTCACTATTACAATCACTGTGATACCAACACTTTTGGTAACCGTCTTTAATTTTTTCCACTTTTAGGTGAAAGCCACCTCTTGTGGCAAAACTCAAAAGCAATGTTAAACTCTAAACACTAAAAAAGAATCAAGTTTTTATTCAAAATTTGATTCATGTTCTAAACCAGCAAAATTAAAATCAATGCCAAAAAATCCCCTAAGGTCTGAACTCTGAATGATCTTGATCTGGCTGGGACGATTCTGAATCATTCAGGTCTGGTCTGGTTTGTATGTTTATGATCTTGTCTGGATTTTTTGTCTAAATTACAACATCTTATTTCTTTTGGTATGATTTGAATCTTTTTGGTCGAATTTAGTCAATTAAAATAAATTTAAGTAAAAAAGGTTATGCGAACAACACTGCATCATGTTCCATGATCAATTGAAGCACTTATAACCAAGTTGATTTTCTCATCCAAACCTGGGACTTCTTTTTGTACCACTTGACCCACACTAAGTTTTGTTGCAAAGAACCAATTCCATCCAACCATTGTAATTGTCAAATCCAATCCCTTTACATTTATTGAGTGCTCTGTCCTTCTTTGAATCCATGGATGTGAAGGCGAAGGTGAACTACTAATGAGTTTATGCCTAAGTGTATGCCCTAAATGCAAACGAATACCAAGGAATGAACATCATCAGTACCCTAATTCCAATTTCAGAATGCGTTTGGACCTAATTTTATTTTATTTAGCTTGATAACAATAAGTTATCATTAAAGTGAGTGCACGCCTGTGCTCTGTGGCACATGATCATATTATGTAACTGATGAGATAAGGATGGAGAGGATCGAGTAATTGAAACAAGATAATGGGATACAACTCCATACTCGAAGGGGTCTCATAAAATTAACCCATTCAACTTCGCAATGTGGCATGACTACAAAAATATTTTATTTCATCGCTGTCTTATGATATTTCCATGAAAGATTAAAAATACTTCGCAATGTAGGAATTAAGATGACGGGTTGCGGTTTGGTCATTATTATTTTTTATTTAGATGGTATGCAGCATTAATGACATCCGACTTAAAAATCACAGTGATTTTTTGCATTAACCTAGTGTTAAGTAAATAGAGTTATTTATTGACAATACAGATTAAGGTGGTGGTGGTGATGATTATGAAAATAGACATCTAATGGCCATTTTTAACACAATTGATATTTCTACAGTGCAAAGCTGAATAAGTGATACCTGGAAATCATTCTCTTCAAAACTTGTTATGTTATCCCTCCAGAATGAAGGATCTTTATGCATAGGAGACCAATCTAGATGACCAAGAAGCACCTCCTGCTTGTACTTGTCAAATGAACTCAGTTTTTTAATCTTATCTTTCAGCCCTTCTTCTAGCTGGTTAAGAGCCTCCAAAAGATCCTACAAAAAAATGGCAATGAAGTTTTAACTCTCTGGAAAAACAGAATTTAAAATTTCTCAATCCATTTTATGATCATTTCAATCCAGTTACAATTTTAATCCATAATAAGATGAAATTCAAGAGCCCGTGAGCCCATTTTCCCACCTCATCACTCCAAGCCTGTGCTTTCAAGTTCTGAGCAATATGAAGCACTCCCAGGTCCACCATAAGTGCACCAAATGCCCCCTTGTAAAGCCAATTCCTCAGAGTCAAGACTACAACTCTGACAACCTACATGTTGATACACCAAATGTAATTCATTAGAGAATATTACCCGAAATAGGACTAAAACAGTTTGAAAATTCCAAAATAGGACTGCCATGTTTTTATTCCCAAAATAGGACTAATTACTGTCATGTTTTGGCAGTACCAGACTTCAAACATGACAGTATTTTCTAAACATGGCAGTAATTAGTCCTATTTTAGGAATAAAAAACATGATAGTCCTATTTCGGGAACTTTCGCAATTCATTAATATGTGTTTATACACACAAACACAAACACAAACACAATTTCAATGCAACTTACTATCTTAGATGAAAAACTAATCTCGGTTACGGATAAAATGGAGGGACAAGAGTACCAAGGAAAAAGTACAATGTGGGATAAGAGTTCACGTCTTATACATGGAAGTGAAAAAAGTGCATCGTTGGATACATAAAATAAGAGTACATTTCTATACATGTCAAGAGTGCATCATTGTCTGAAAGTTTGAAACCAAATGTGTATGGTTGAAAAGGTATTGTGATAGTTCCATAAGTACACATAAGTGCTCTCTTGTGTATAATACAACGATATCATTAACCTTTGAACATTAAGATTAAATGTATTTGAGGATCTGCAGTTCTACCATGTGAAAAATTGATCAATTCATCCCCTTGTAAGTGTCTAAGTGATAATGTGATCAGTTCATGGGGTGTCAGAATAACCGCAAAAAAAAGCAGCAATCGGCAAGCCACACAAACAAATCACACAAATCTTGAAGATAAATGACAAACGGGAATTTGAAGATCTTCGGAGATCGAGCAATTAAAAGCATATTGCATTTCCATTCGTTTTGAATTACATTATTTCCTTTTTTTGTCCCGTCTTTATTCAACTCCCCTATCTTAGTAAAGCCAATTTATGAAATAGTATACGCATTCGGAGCCAGAAAAAGTCTAGGGGAATTTGCAGAGTTCTCAATTAAAATTCCTACTTCTATTACAATAAAACTTAGTTTGCTTCTAGAATTTGGTTCTTCCCAGTATTCTAAACAGCCCAAAATCTCAGTTTTCCCTCTCACTTGCCCGAAGACCCGTGATGATATCTTGCACACAAGACGTGAATATCACAAAGAGCCTAAATTTATTCTCATTTTTCAAAGAGAAATTTAGTTTTCATTTCAAACTAACCCTCTAAACACATATATGTAGACACACAGAGAGAGAAACATCTGTTTGTGCGTAAGACTTGTACACATTGGGAAAACTTTGAATTAAACAAAGCCAAAAATGAGGAGTGAGTAGGTAGAGTAAACAACTAACACAAATTGTAAATGCAACAGGTTATGTTGGAAATCAAGAAAAACAAATCTGGAGTTTGCTTATAAGCATGTCATATATGGAAGGAAGTTCATTGAAGGTGACCCATATCAAACTATATGGCCGACCTTTTCCTTTGTAGAAGCTTTAACAACTTCTATTAACCGTGGAAGGGCCCTCGAAGTCACGAAGTACTCTATTGCAGGTTCATAGTATGACAAAAGCCAAACGCATACACATGTTTCATAGAGGAGCTGTTACAAGGAAGAGAAGTCAGACACAGAAATTAATGACTACACATGACTGATATGAAGAACAGAAGTAGGACATAACAAAAGAAAATCATTTATCAGAATTAATAGGTTGCATGTAGCTGAATGCATTCTACAAAAAAGAGAGTACAATTCAAATTAAGCTGACTATCCTTCAATTACCAAAAATAGGCCCAGACAAGTTATATACTTACATGCATGTGATATTAACTAAGATAAAATTAGTATGATTAATGACAATTGTACCTTATAAAAATTAAAAGTTCGTACACCTGCC